TTGAGTTATGGTAATGAAGGAGAATATTGAAAGTGCCATGGGCTGCCAAAAGAACCAACAGATCTGTGTTGGAAGAAGTGCAGCCAGAGTGCTCCTTGGAGGTCAAGATTGCCAAACTTCGTCTCTCATACTTTGAATATAGTGTCAGGAGGGACCAGTCGCCAGAGAAGGATATCATGTGTGGTAAGGTGGAGGGTCAGAGGAAGACCCCCAGCAAGATTGATTGGCCAAGTAGTAGCATTGATGGACTCAAGTGTGGCAACAGTAGTGAGGTTGGCCCAGGATCGGGCAGTGTTTCGTTGTGCTGTGTATAAGGTCGCTATGAGTCAGTACTGACTCGATGGCACCTAATAGCAACAACATTCAGCATAATTAGAGCCAGGGTAGTTAAATACTTTCCCAAACAAAATATACTGCTTCTTGCAACAAAATATACTGCTTCTTGCAACAAAATATACTGCTTCTTGCAACAAAATACACTGCTTCTTTTTTCTGGAGCAACCTCAATCCACAAAGTCTGATGCAGAGACTGTCATTATTGTCATAGAATCAAAATATTTGAAATACATAAGGAACTGCTTATGTGGTGCTATAAGATCAGCACCAGGCTTTGAACCACAAAGTCAGGAGTTCAAACCCACCAGCTGCATCTGGGAAACCCTATACACGGTCACTATGAGTTGGAACCAACTCAATGACACATAACAAACAAAAAACAAAAAAGGAAACATGATTTAATTTTTGACTCAGTTACCCAAGTTAACCAGAAAATGGCTAACATTGTTCCATTTTGGTTTTATACTTTATCTTAGCTCAAGAGTACCATTTAGGAAAGAGGGAAAAAAATGGCAAAAAAGATACCATTATTTGAGCTTTCATACTGAGTTTTCCTGCAGGACTAATGCGTTCTGGTGGTGCTGGGGTTAAGTGTTCAACTGCTAACCTGAAGGTTGCTGTTTTTAATCCAGTCATCTACGGGAGAAAGATGTGGCTGTCTGCTCACATGAAGATTACAGTCTTGGAAACCCTATGGGACAGTTCTATCACTACGAGCTGGCATCAACTTGACAGCAATAGGTCATTGTTTAAAATTTTGCTTTTCAAGAAGGACCGAAATGGGTCTCTACAGACATCGACTATAAATGACACAGAGTGTGGAGGTTGCTTTTCCCAAGTATTACAAGAAGAAATAAATTGAACAAATTAAGTTTATCTAGAAGGCATACAGGTCCGAGCCAAGTGGATACGACAAGTAGAAAGAACAGATGCTCAGATGGAACATTTTTCAGTTTAGTACCACAAAATCAGAATAGAGCTTTTTATGAAAACAAAACAAAACAAAAAAACAAAGCAAAAGAAAAATCTATACAAAAGATAGGAACTTCTGGTTCTCTTTCAGTTGGAAATAACAAGGATAATTGTTTTTCCCTTGAAACTTTAGCTTCTGTCTCCCAAGATTTTCAGTCTATGGAAATTAAAATATTATGCATTGGGCTGCTAACTCCAAGGTCAGAAGTTAAAAATCACAAGCTGCTCCACAGAACAAAAAGGAGGTTTTCTGCTCCCATAAAGATTGGTAGCGTAGTGGTTACGAATCGGGCTGCTAACCTTAAGGTCAGCGGTTCAAAACTACCAGCTGCTCTGCGGGAGAAAGATGAGGCTTTCTACTCCTGTAAAGATTTACACCCTTGGAAACCCTGTACAGGGTCGCTAAGGGTCGGAACCGACTTGACGGCACATAACAACAACAACAACAAAGATTTACAGCCTTGGCAATCCTACATAGGGTCACTATCATTCCGGGTCTACTCGGTGACAGTGGGTTTAGTTTGGGTATATATATGAGGGTAAGTAAAAAAAAAGTATTGGCGCTGTGGTTCTAGTTCATACGTGATAGGTCTATTTAAAGCAAAACACATTTAAACATGTCTTTATGATTAGTGGATGATTGCAGAGAAGTTCTCGCAGTAATACGAGAGAACTTGTATATATGTATATATGTGCATCTAGATTGCTGACTTTGTGGTTGGCAGTCCTTTGCTTATCCTACAGAGCCACCTCAATCTCATATATGCTCATACATAGACATATATCCAGGAACTGAACCTCTAGACTTTCAATTAGCAGTCAAGTGCATGAATCATTTGCACCACGCACAGGCTCCTCCGGAAATGGTATTGTTGTTAAAGTGCCATCAAATCAGTCCCAACCCATAGCAACCCTATATAGGGTTTCCAAGGAGTGGCTGGTGAACTTGAGGCACTGACCTTGCGATTCAAACTGATGTTGCAGTCCAGCACAGTAACCCACAGCGCCACACCAGGACTCCAGAAATGGTATTAGTTTCTATTAAGTTAGCTACGTCTCATGGTAAAACAGATAAAATGTTGCCCAGTCCCTTGCTTTCTTCATGTTGATTGTTATGCTTGAGTCCATTGTTGTGAATATTGTGACAATTTGTTTCATAGAGGGCTTTCTTCTTTGTTGTTGTTGTTGTTGTTGAACCTGTACCATATAAATATGATGTCATTTTCTAGTGGTTGGCCTTTCCTAGTGATGTATCCAAAGTAGATGAGGCAAAGGTTCAGCATCCTCACTTCCAAGAAGCAAGGATTATACTGATATTCCGAAAACACTCAAATACTTAGACTTGCTAGGTCAATTTTAAGAATTTATTTTAAGCTGAGTTTAAAAAAAAGCAAATCTCAGAAGGCAGAAATGATTGGTGGGGAGCAGAGGCCAGGTCATGAAATTCCTTGTAAGGTGTTTAGATTCCTCTCTGAGTGAGGTGAGAAGTCATTGAAGGATTCTGAGCATAGGAATGATGTGATTTGACTTGTATTAACTTTATGCTTGCTTTCTTTTGTTTGATATCACTCCATCATACCCACTCTATTCTTACCCTTCCCCATGCTGTATTCTAGGAGGCTGACCCGTGTAAACTATCACCTGGTCATTGGTGGTTGGTTTGACAATCAGAGACCCACTAAGGAGGTGATGGAGTCCTGGTGTGGCCCTGTGGGTTAACCCACTGGACTGTAAAGTCGGTTTGACCTGCAAGGTCAGAGGTTCAACCTTCTTGGAACAGGTTGCTCCTTGGAAACTCTATACAGTGCTGCTATGAGACAGAGGGTCGCTATGGGTCGGAATCGACTCAACGGCACACAACAACAACAAGGAGACGACAGAGTGAAAGCTCCTGACATTTGCTACTCATTCTGTCCCTGATTTGGTATGCAGCAGCTCCTAGTGGGGGATTCATCCTCTGGAATTTCAGTTCTGGTTGGGACACACTAGTTCCTCTCTTTGAATATTCAGCCCAGGGGTGACAACAGCTTCCTTTTTATTTGGTAGTCTTTGGATACATCATTTTCTCTTCTTTGTTCTCTTAAACTTGCCCAGCCTTTGTAAGTGGTCCCTCCGTTACTGAACCTTTAGATTGCAGACTCCAAAGTTCCTCTAAGGGCAGAAAACTTTCTGCTCTCTTCAGGGATAACTTTAGGAAATGACGTGCCATTAACAAGAATCACCACTAGGGGGTGAGCAAGTAGAGAGGGAGAAGAAGGAACTAAAACGCTGCAAGTCAGCGGGTATTCAAGTTCGGCAGACGTTGCGTATTTGTCCCAAATGTACTGTGTAATGTTTGCAAATATCAGGAGCCTTACCATAGAACGCAAAGAGTTAGTCTAATGTTTATCAAAATACAAGTGAAAGAGAGAGGAAAAAGAAGAGGGGAAAAGGGATATAGAGAGAAGAAAGCAAGGAAGGAAGGGAAAAGGAAAGAAAGAAGAAAGAAAGCGAATGGAAGGAGAGAAGGAACGGTTCATAGCCACCAGGTCCTGGTGTGGCACTATAGGATGAGCATTGGACTGCTAAACACAAGGTTGGCGGTTCAAACCCACCAGTCGCTCCTCGGAAACCCTATACAGGGTCCCTATGAGTCGGAACCAAGTCGATAATACTTAACAACAACTACAGGTCAGCCAAAAGTCGTCCTGGTGGTACAGTGGGCTAAGCATTAGGCTGCTAACAGAAAGGTGGTGTGCCATGGAGTCGGTTCGGACTCATAGTGACCCTGCATTGGGTTTCCAAAGCTGTCAGTCTTTACGGGAGCAGAAAGCCTCATCTTTCTCTCACTGAATGGCTGACCTTGAGGTCAGCAATCCAACTCGTACGCACTACTCTAATGGGTTTGAATCTACCAGTCATTCAGCTGTACTAAGTTTTGCAGGGAGCAGTTCTGAGTCGAAATGGACTCAACAACAGTGGGTTTGTTTTTCTGGTTAGGCCAGCTCAGAAATTTCTTTCTTTCAGGGGAAGTGGTAGAGGTCAGGTTAAGAAAGGGGTGGGGAAAAGGAGAGGGAAGAGGAGAAAAAAAAGGGGAGGGGAAAGGAGAGGAGGAGGAGGGTGTGAAACGTGGTTAGAGAAATACAAGAAAACAAACCTTTTTAGTAGCACTGGGGTACTCTCCATGCAGCACAGCAGACTCCGGTTGACCAGGGACCAGACACTCCTGCTGCTGAGTAGAGATCTAGGAAGGCGCCCAGCAAAGCCATGGTGAGCCAGTCAGCCTAAAAGAGTCCCAGCTGCTCTGTATGAACCTTTCTTGGGATATCAGAGGCAGGTGGGAAAGGACCAGAAGCACGCATTCATTTTAGCTAAAACAAAAACAACAATAAATTTTGAATACTCTTAAGAGTTTCAGAGGAGTCCTATAATCTTTCCTTTCCTGGAGCTAACTCGTTGATATTAACTTTTTTTCCCCGCTCACTAACCACTGCTTACCTGAAAAGTGGTAGCCTCAGAAAAATATGCTTTTTAATGTGTACAAAAAAGTGTATGGTCTTGTTATTTGAGATGCTCAAAATACATTTCTTTGATTTGGGAGAGAGGGAAGAACTACTTTTCTTTAGTGGTGTCTGTTTGGCAATCTAATTCTGTCACGTATTTGATGCAGGGACCCAGCATGATGAAATCTGAGGTTAAGCCATTAAATATAGACACAAGAACACTTCTAAAAGATACATACTAAATATCAAATGTTGTTGTTAAGTACCATGGAGTCGGTTCCAACTCCTAGTGACCCTGGAGCAGAAAGCCTCATCTTTCACCAGCAGAACAACTGGTAGTTTCGAACTGCCAACCTTGAGGTTAGCAGTCTGATTCATAACCACTATGCTACCAGAGTGTGTGATCTAATAGTGCTACATAAAAGTAGGTATAAAAAATTTACTGAAACATAAAGGGAGGGGAAATGATCAACTTGAGACTAAAACATGAAAAAGATGGATCAGTTTTGAGACAAATTTTTAATTCTGCTTTTTTCACATCAAATCTGAGACATCTGTTACCTTAGAAATGCTTAGTAGGCATATTCTGTTGAGCTTTAAGACAGTTGTAGGCACTTCCGAAATGTAATGGAAACTTGTAGTTTAAGAATGTAAGTTGTAATACAATTTTGTAATTTATTTGCAGATATTTCCTTGGAAATGTCAGCGCTCTCAGAGCTGTGGAAACATGTTCAAGTTGTGGACCTGGATAGTACTCTGCTGTGGTATGTTATGATATTTGTACATTGCTAAACCTTATATGAGGAGCTCTGGTAGCTTAGTGGTTACGAATCAGGCTGTGAACCACAAGGTCAGCAGTTCGAAACTACCAGCTATTCCACAGGATAAAGATGAGGCTTTCTGCTCCCATAAAGATTTACAGCCTCGGAAACTCTGTACAGGGTCGCTATGAGTCGGAACCAACTCCACGGCACTTAACAACAACAACAACAACAAACCTTATATGGAGTTCTGGTGTGGCACTGCAGGATAATGCGCTGGACTGCAAGGTAGTCGGTTCAAACTCACCAGCCGCTCCTTGGAAACACCATTGTTGTTGGTAATTGCCATCGAGTCAGTTCCTACTGATAACCACCCTGTATAGAGTTTCCAAGGAGCAGCTGGTGAGTTTGAATCATCGATCTAGTGGTTCAAACCAATTTTGCAGTCCAGCGTATTAACCTGCAGCCCCACACTAGGATTTCTCTGAAACCCTAGGTTCTGACTCATAGTGACTTTGCATTGGGTTTCCGAGAATGCAAATCTTTACAGGAGTAGAAAGCCTCATCTTTTTCCCTCGGAACGGCTGGGAGTTTTTGAACTGCTGACCTTGACCTGAATTGTAACCACTAGCTATCAGAACTCCATGGAAACCCTATAAGGGGTGGCTATGAGTCTGAATTGACTCGAAGTCACTTAACAAAAACAGCAAACCTTGTTTGCTTGTGTATATTTTTCTTAAAAACTAGAGTTTGCATAGTCTTAGGGAAAATTATTAGGTAAACAACTGTTTATTCTGTCCTTTCTATGAATGTCTCTTTTCGACTTACATTTTGTATTTTCCAGAATCTTAACTTTATCTTAAGAGTCTCGGGTGGAGGTGTGTGTGTGTTGGGGAGGCAGGGGGATGCAAAAAGCATTTGACTCCTAGCCAAAAAGTTGGTGATTTGAACCTACCCAGAGGTACCTCAGAAGATAGGTCTGGCAGCCTGCTTCCAAACAGGAACAGCATTGAAATCATGTGGTGCAGCTCTACTCTACACACATGGGGTCACCATGAGTCAGAAATTACTGATGGAAACTAACAGTCACCAGCACTCTATCTTGTCCTGCTCCTTGCTGCATGGGCCAAATCCTGGTGATCCCTCTTAAGTCTTCAATTATGAACTAATGATACCAATTAAGAAATATCTAATAAGGCACTTATGAACTTCTGGTGTGGTGCAGTAGGATCGGCAATGGACTGTGAACTACAAGGTTGGCAACTCAAACCCACCAGCTGTTGCTTGGAAACCCTATACAGGGTCACTATGAATCGGAATTGACTTAATGGTTCTTAATAACAACAATAAGACACTTAAAATCTGTACAAAGTATTTAGCAATCTACATTCTATTTTTTATTAATGAATGGTAAATTGCATGGCAACGCTATTTCTAGAACTAAACTGTGAGGGTAGGGTGCTGTGATATTTAATTTGTTTTCTACCTTATATATTACTTTTTTGTTCTACTCCCATTGATGTGGCAAATTTCTTGTCTGATTCTTTAAGACTCTCCAGCAATTGCTTGAATCTTCTTTCCCATTCCCTAAATAGAGTAGTGTCTTTTTGTTGTTGCTGTTGTTAAGTACCATGGAGTCGGTTCTGACCCATAGCGACCCTGAACAGGGTTTCCGGGGATGTAAATCTTTACGGGAGCAGAAAGCCTCATCTTTCTCCCGTGGAGCAGCTGGTAGTTTCGAACTGCTGACCTTGTGGTTTGCAGCCCAATTCATACACCCTAAGAAAACATGCCTACTATGCCCCTCACAAAACATATTACTTATACCTGTGCGACCTGTGGAAACAGCAGTCTTGCTATTTAACAAATATTGACTGAATTGTTACGATGTAGCCAACACTATTCTAGGTACTGAAGACACAGCTGTGAACAAAGTAGTTACTTCCTTTTTGGAACTGACACTCCAGCAGGATGCTCCTTTAATAAAACTGTCCAAACATTATTATGATGTTCTTTACTCATCAATCATTCCTGTTTACCAACTCTCTGTCCATATCTGACACATTTAACTTGATTAAGACTCCTGGTGTGATGCTGTAGGACTAGCATTGGACTCCAAACCACAAGGTTGGCAGTTCAAACCTACCAGCTGCTGGTCGGAAACCTTATCCAGGGTTGTTAAGAGTTGGAACCAACTCAACGGCACTTAACAATAACAACTATTGTATTTGTCTGTTATTCCTTGTTTATAATTTTTAGATTGTAAGAATTGGATGTATGATTTGTTTGTTTCAGAATTGCTCCTTGGTACTTGCCCTATACCTTATGAAAACCCAACAAATGTTGGTGGCTGTGAAAACTTTTATCTTTCTGCATGTAATAGTGTTTCACAAAGATCACACCGTGCTTAGAATGGCGTATATTATTATGGGGTCATTGTGTAATTGTGTTTGTTAGTTTTCTCCTAAGCTCTCCTATTTGAAACACCTATATGATTACTAAGAAGCCCTCAGCTGCTAACCGGAAGGTCAGTGGTTCGAACCCACTAGTGGTTCTGCAGGAGAAAGATGTGGCAGTCTGTGCCTGCAAAGATTGACAGTCTCAGAAATTCTATAGGGCAGTTCTACTCTGCCCAATAGGGTTGCTATTCATGAGCATCAACTTGATGTTAGTGGATTTGATTTTTCATACTTAAATTAGTTTTTAGTGATTGACATGTACTAGGGAAAATAAATTTAAGCTTCTAAAACTTGTTAAATATCAATTGAAACAATTTTGGGAAAAGATATTTTTTATGAAAATAAATCTTAACAAGCCACCGAATTTGTCTCAAATAGAGCGATGAGTAAGAGCAGTATACTTTGGTGAAAAACCAGAGTCTAAGTCCTACTTCAAATCTGCAATCAGCTGCTTCTGTGTCATGCACACTCTTTGGGACTTGGTTGTCTTATCTCATCTCTAAGTTAGCGATTCCTCTGGTTTCTTTTCAGCTGTAACATTGTGTGAACCTATATCATTCACATTGTCATCTTTCAGATTTCATGGTACACCATGGAACCGACTGCTGGACCTATCATTATTCTGAAAATCCCATGAACTGGTCAAAGGCTAGAAAGTTCTGCCAAGACTATTACACGGATTTAGTTGCCATACAAAACAAGCAGGAAATCGAGTACTTGGAGAATACGCTTCCTGCCAGACGTACTTACTACTGGATAGGAATCCGGAAGGTAGCGGGAATATGGACTTGGGTGGGAACCAATAAGTCTCTCACTGAAGAAGCAGAGAACTGGGGACATGGGGAACCGAACAACAAGAAAACCAAGGAGGACTGTGTGGAGATCTATATCAAGAGGGCCAAAGATGCCGGAAAGTGGAACGATGACTCTTGCAACAAGCCAAAGACAGCCCTCTGTTACACAGGTAGGGAGTGACCACACTGCTATGCTACTGGAACTCAAGGGGAAGATTGGACTAGCACCAGGGAAATACTAGGGGGAAAGAACACGTTGCTAGCTTTTTCTAAAATACTTCTGATACCCCAACTAAGCTGCTTGACTCATGCCACTTCCGAGCCTTTTTGGTATCTGAGGTTGACCTCTCCGCCCAAAAACTATTCCCCCAAACCACGATGGATCAAAGTGATAAACATGTATGGAAAATAAGGAGGAAGAACAAGATACCTAGTGCCCCTGATACCAAGGCAGGGGAGTGGGAGCAGAGAGACAAGAGCAGTTGATAGCTTAGGCTCACATCCCCTGTTTCTTTACTGTAAAATATGGAGCTACGTGCCACGTAAAGAGCCCTGGGGACATGGTGGAAAAAGGATGGCAGTTTGAACCCATCAGCCTCTCCTCAAGGAAAAGATAGGACAGTCAGTTTCTGTAAAGGCGATAACCTTGGAAAGGCCAAGGGGCGGGTGAATCCATTCAATGGTAATGGGTAAGGTGCCACCTGTTTCCTTCTTTGTACCATTCTCCATATATCCTATATAAGCCTATGTAATTCTTTATGATGAAACACTGCACTATCTGTGGTGTGTGGAAACTTCTGTAAAAAAACACACTAAAACTGTCTCAAAACAGAATTTTCCAAGTGGTAGGTTAACGGTGAAGCACAGGTGGTCTGGTCTATCGTAAATTGAAACTTCTTCTGAATTTAGCAAGCTTAGACTTTCTAAAGCTATGACTAGTTTTTATAAAGAAAGGGATCGCCAAACACGCTGAAGAAATAATTGGGATCAAGGCATCATTTAACCAACTTATTGGAATAAAAAGTAATTTCAAGAGTTTCAGGGAAAGCCACTAAGCTTCTATTACATGTCACAGAGCATTGTGATTGGTAAATTCATTCTAAGTGTAAACTAATGACTATGGCTCTATGGTTAATATACTATAGACATAAAACATCTTATCATGATTTTCATGCAAAAAAACGCAAATCTTACCTGTTTATTAAACTAGTCTCAGACAAAAAGTTACGTATGCTTAAAGACATGACTACAAATACTAAAAAGAAATCACATTAAAATGCATTTTTTTTTTCTGGTGTCCTTAAAGCTTCTTGCCAGCCCTGGTCATGCAGTGGTCATGGGGAGTGTGTGGAAGTCATCAATGATTACACCTGCAACTGTGATGTGGGGTATTACGGGGCCCAGTGTCAATTTGGTAAGCCACTTTCCTTTCTTTGTTTCTCTCCGTGCAAAGTCATGGAGTTATAATAGCTTATAGAAGCTGCTTGGAACAAAATGATACTAGTCATTCTGAGAAGTGGGAAGTTTCAGTTAGAAAGCTACTTTTGCAATGTTTTTCCGTAATGATTTTGTAATACAGAATGATGTTTCAATTCACTTTTCAGCAAGTCTGAGCACCCACAAAGAGCGTGGTGTTGAGATAAACACATAAGAGTTACAGTAATGAATTGAAGATGGTAGATTCCTGTTCACAAGGAACTCACAATCTCATGAGTTTGTTGGATTAGTTAGAACTCTAAAGTCTGGAAGAAACCACACTATGTACCATTAATAAGGTGTCTTAGTTGCTTCCTGCTGCTGTAATATCATTACTATAATTTGAGTGGCTTCTTTTTACAGCTCTGGAGGAAAAAAAAAAAATCAAATCCGTGTCTAAACTATGTTGATTGCTTTTGTAAGCTTCTCTCCTAGTTTCTGGTGATTCTTGACATTCTTTGATGTCTGTTTTCCCCCCTGTATGTGTCTCTGTGTCTATTCTGATCTTTTTATAACTCAGAAGTGATTAGGCTTAGGATTCATGCTATACTGATATGATATCACTAATATAACAAAAGAAAACTCCTAATTCCAAAGAGGATCACATTCACAGACACAAGGGCCAGGAATTCAATACATATTTTGTTGTTGTAGACTTACCCTATAGCGCCACACCAGGACTCCAAATAGATATATATATGGTGTGGTACTATAAGTTATGCACTGGACTGATAACCACAAGGTTGATGGTTCAAACCCTCGGAAACCCTATACAGAACTACTTTGTGTCAGAACTGACTTGATAGCAGTTAGCAATAACAATAACAATAATACACACTTACACATATGTATATTGTCATTGGTGTTAAGTCGAGTTGGTTCTGACTCATAGTTACCCTGTCTAGGGTTTCCAAGGAGTGACTTGTGGGTTTGAACCACTGACCTTATGGTTCAAACCAACCGAGTGGTCCGGTGCATTATCTGGTAGCATCAAACCAGGACTCATACACAGACAGATATTATTGTTGTTGTTAAGTGCCGTTGAGTCAACTCCGACCCCTAGCAACACTGTATAGAGTTTCTGAGGAGCAGCTGGTGAGCTTGAACCTCCAACCTTGCAGTTCAAACTGCTTTGCAGTCTGGCGCATTAACCTACAGCACCACACCAGAACTCCATACAGATATATATACATATATAGAATCGGGCTGCGAACCGCAAGGTCAGCAGTTCGAAACTACCAGCTGCTCCGCGGGAGAAAGAGGAGGCTTTCTGCTCCTGTAAAGATTTACAGCCTCGGAAACCCTGTTCAGGGTCGCTATGGGTCAGAACCGACTCGACGGCACTTAACAACAACAACAATATAAAACTGTCAAAGTCATGACAGAGTAAGACCAAAGATCAAAGTTTATATAAGGGTCTACGGTTTATAAGGATTCCTGGTGTGGTGCTGTAGGATCAGCACTGCACTGTGAACTATAAGGTCAGTAGTTCAAACCACCCACTGCTCATCAGAAACCTTATACAGGGTTGCTATGAGTCAGCAATAACATGGTATATGTGAGAGATATATACAGTTGTCCCTCAGTGTTCATCAGAGATTGGTTCCAGGACATCTTCACCCCATACCCTCCCTCAACACCTCTCAAAGGTACCCAAATCCTTAAATGTTCAAGTTCCTTATATAAAATGGTATAATATTAGCATAAACTCTGTGCACATCTTGCTGTATACTTTAAATCATCTCTAGATTACTTATAATACTGAATGCTATGTAAATACCATGTTAATGGTCTGGCTCAGCCTTTGAGGGATTGCTTTGACAATTTACTGGCTTCCCCCACCACTGAATATTTCCCATCTAGAGTTGGTAAAATCTACTGACGGAGTGCTCACCGAAGTAATAAATTCAACAAACTTACTTGGGAAAGGTATTTCAGGAGATAAACATCGATGTAGATTTTTCCCTTAAGGGATTTACAATGAACTAGAGCACTCTTAGTATGGTGCTATAGGGTCAGCACTGGACTGTGAACCACAAGATTGGCTGTTCAGACCCGCCAACAGCTCTTTGGTAGGTCACTATGAGTGAGAATCACTCACTTAACAGCACTTAACAACAATGAGTGGAAATGATACATCCTCATAATTGAGTTTGATAGAAAGTAAGATAAACTGGAATAAACTTGGGGAGACTGGAAACTCCTTAGTAAAGGAGTCTAGCCCTTGCCAATGAAAGGCCCCTCAGTACCTTAACACCTGCTTTAAGCTGTGCATAGGAGGCACTCGAGAACAGAGAGAGGGCGAATCATCAAGAATGGATTTCAATGATTCAAACCCATTTTAGCAGAAATATAAGGGAGGCAATACACAGATTCAATCTCAAGGAGTCTTTGATCCAGTCAAATCGCTCCTGAAAGAAACATCAGTTCCTTTGATATACGTTGGTGGAGTTTCAAAAGTACATGTAAAGTCTCTGATGCATAAAGTAGAATATTATAAAAAGACAAAAACAAAACAATGTTTATAAAGATTAGATAAGGACCAAATTAATTTAAATCTCAACCATTGAAATACATCTAACTTAATCCACTTCATCCCTAAACCATGACTCCTGCCCAATACTATACTCTCAATCCATTTGTGAATTTATTTTTTCAAATTCCTATATCATTGGCCAATTTCATTTCTTTTCAGACATTTGCTGCTTTTTTGGTCTTAACTACTGTCATACCATCCTTTCTTAATGGTTTTTATACCTGTTTCCCATGGTTTCTGCATGGGCACTTACTCACACGTTAAGTATGGTAATTTCTCAGTTTCTGTGCCTAGTTCATTTCTGAATCTACCTGTACCATTTAGAAAAAGTTAAAAATTCTAGTGGTTTCACAAATCTAAATAAATTGAAGACAAACAAATATCTGTCTTTCAATCTTAATCCCAAATTTGCTAAACATATTCTTTATTGCTGTTGTTAGGTGGCGTCCAATCAGTTCTAACACATAGTGACCTTATGCACAACAGGACAAAATACTGCCTGGTACTGCACCAACATCACAATCATTGTTACACTTGAGCCTATTTCTGCTGCTATTGTGTCAATCCACCGCATCGAAGGTCTTCTTTTTTGTTGACCCTCCACTTTACCAAGCATACTGGTTTTCTTCAGGGATTAGGCCTTTCTGATAATGTCTGAAGTATGTGAGATGAAGGCTCGCCATCCTGGCTTCTAAGGAGCATTCTGACTGAACTTCCAATACAAATTGGTTTGTTCTTCTGGGAGTCCACGGTACTTTTTAATATTCTTTTTCAACACCATAAATCAAATGCACCAATGCTTGT